TGATTCTGTGTCATTCTTTCATTCAGGTAGCAACAGTCAATGAATAGGAATTCAATAGCACAACACCCTCGAGTTATGGGTGTTGTTGCACAGTTTCATCCATTTGATCTTTAACATTGTTGATATCGATCTATCTATACAAGAACATTTTGAGCTGAAGCTTACGAATTTTCAAATTAACTCATTAGATAAATTGTATAAAAACCGGGTGGGGGGACAGGGACATATTCCATGAAATATTTGTGTTGAGACTTTCCGTCGATTGAATCGAAGGTCAGAAACGCCACAAAGGGGCGGGTATACATATATCAAATAAAATCAGCTGCCATAATGATTATTCGATTTGATTAATTAGCCGAAATAACAATGGGCGATAGAACACCGTAGAGAAGTCATATGGTCGCATTTATTTTATAAATTTGTTAGGGAAAGTGGCGGTCGTAATGATTCCCGTACTTCATTTTGAGCGATCGAATGTTTACTTTCGCATTCTTAGCACGAACTGTGAATGTGTTTTGTCTATAAATTTATCATCATTGCCGGTTGTACAGGCGTCAGAATAAAGGATTTATTCTATTGTGTATGCAAAAGAGCCAGAAAAGGACAGAGAGTGTGTGTATATGTGCGAAAGAACGCATTTGAAAGAAGAATTATGTGATTTGATGTGAGATTCTCTTTGGAAGGCACTTCAAATGGTGTGCACCATTCAGAAAATAATTGAATGAGAATCCGACACATAATGAAATTGCCGTTTGTGGTAAATGCATATCTAATTGTTGCTCTGCTAAGCCTCGCCAACGAAAAATCGCCTTCATAAAGTCATTTATCACCCCAGCAACAAACAAAAGGTCACTATTTATTTCTCACATTCACTGACACATACTCGTATACACAGCAGCAGCAGCTTTGAGTGTGCATTGTTCATGGGAGCATGTTAATTTCTCGAAATGTACTACAACATCTCGCATTTCGCGAGAAATTGTGGTTCTAACAAACGCGCTTCAAAGTGTGTGTGTGTGTGTGTATTTCTATGGTCTTTACGCTTGGCCAAATCGAAAATTGATGTTGAAATTCCTTTGTTCAGCTAATTTTTTCTAATTCTTCATTTTCGCCCGCAACAATGTGCTCAGTTGCCAGGTCGTCGAATAAGTGAGTTGTCAAATAATTTAATTGGACGTTGTGAACGTCGCCGATTCACTTGATTCGATTAAAACTATAAGCTTGCTTGCACACACAGCAAGTTTCAAAGACGCTTTTGTTCGTTGGAAAATGAATTAATTGAAAGAAACCACCAGTGCGTACATTTCCGCATCCGACCGACATTCAATTCCATCCACATCAATGCAAGAGATACAACGGAGTGTATTTCGTATTCTCTTCCTTCCTATCACTTGTACAACCCAAATGACGCCGGGCAAACTACAGTAGCTTTCCAACTTTTTGGCTTGTGCTGCGATTCTAGTTTATCTCTGATTTAATAAATCCCACCATTTCCAAGTCAATTCCCACCGACTAGTTAACAAACTCATCAATGTTAAGATCTAGTTGAAGAACATCTTTCCGTACGTACACACAATGCAACATACACACACACACACACACACACACACATACAATGAATCCGTATGCTTCTTCAACTTCAAGTACAGTTAACCATAAAATGCAAAAAGATGTGAATCATAAAATTTGTGCCAAACACATGACATTCTCAATATTTTATGTGAATTTCAGTAACAATAAACAAACCAACAACAAAAAAGAGAAAAAACGTCACAAGACTTATTGGCACCCGTTCTATGAGCATCGCATGTACTTCAACAGACTCCAACCGAGCACTAAAAGAAAACTCTACATATTCCTGCCATTCGATTCGGCCACCGAAAATATAGATCACTTTACAAAATGTTCTGACTTTTGCACAATTCAATCGAATCGCTTGTTGTTGAACGATATAAACGTTATAAAATGTAACGGTGGAAAATGGCTCAAATAAAAGCACACCGTATATACACGTCGACGATGTTGTGCTGTGTAAATGACAACCGCAGACTAATTTGTAGCATCAAACGGTTGAGTGAAACCGTAAGAAGCACGGAACAAGCTTAACTACGTCTAAGATTTATGTACAAAGCAAAAGAAGAACACAAAGAAAGTGCACGAAAAGAGCGTGAAGAAAAAAGAAGAGCGATAACATCAAAAGTGATTTTTTTTTGCAAAAGCAAGGCTTTATGTGCTAATCTCCTGCTGTCCTCAGTAGGCCGCAATAATTTCGTCAATATTTTATGAGAGAATCGCAAGTGCTACTCTGTTCAAAGACTTCTCTGATTTCTTAGAGAAATGCATCAACTTGTATGATTCTTTTCACACAAATAAATGATCATTTGAGAAAATTCACAGCTTTCAGTTTTATTGAAATTGAAAAAATCCCAATTTGAAAATGCATTTTCCAAAGAACTACTTTCTAGTGAAAAAAGAAAAAGAAAATATGGCGTTTATTTTACAAGAAATCTTCTACCGCAAAGCGCAATGTAATATGATTGCAATATGATGATTATCAAAAAACAAAAACAAAATCGCACAAGAACGTAGCCATTAGCAACGAAAGTACTTTTAATTCAGTTCGTTCAACATAATATACGTTGCCTATTAAAAGAACAGCACAATTGCAAGGCGAACGCTTCTTGAATGTCAAAAGTTTGTTGTTGTTGTTGTTGTTGTTGGTGGTGGTGGTGCATGTAAAAGTGGCAACAACTGAAAGCTCGTAAACTTTGACCATAATTAAAAAGAGCAGCATGTGAGTTCATCCTCGTGTGCGATGCAGAGAACGAGTGAAAGCATCGGGCACTTTGTTTAGGCTGTTGGATTAAGTTTCTTAAAGATGGCTGCATAAACTAAACAAAGAGCGCACCAACTGATGCCAGCCATTTTCTTTTTAATTGCTTTTAAAATAGACGCCGTTTTTGGATGCCAGCCCACAAAGAATTGCTTGAGCGTGCAGGATGCATTTTTCATTTCAATTTTACACGGAATTTATGTTTGCTGAAAGAGAGAGAGGTGAAATTCACGGAAATATCAAGTGGAATTATTTATTACATGATCAAAGTGAACAAACAATACGCACCGACAGAGTTTTTCTATTGCAGGTCTTTCGATGCGCTCGAAAGAATGCTCGCGCCCGCCTCTCAACAAGTTTATGAGATGGATCCGTTATGCATCTTTTGTTTTCTCTTTTGCCACTTGCTAAAAAACTTACTGGCAAATTGCTTAGCTTCAGCATTAGCGCAAACTTTCGTTGGCATCAATTACATAGGTTTTGCAATATTCCAGCCAAAGTCTCTCTCATTAAATTCTACCATATATATAAGTAGATAGTTTTAATGAAGCACTCACAAAAAATGGGACAATATGCTAAAATGCCGTCATCAAGTGCCTAGTCATATATGCCAATTCATCGCAACTTAAACCTGCATTTGGCATCGTCTTGTATGCAAACCGAGGCAAAGATCAAAAACCAAATTTGAAGCTTAACACATGTCGATATGGTTCAACTTAAAGTTTCGTAGTAGTTTTGATTCCAGTGTTTAGTGTGAAGCACATCGTAGTGTAGGCGATGCCAACAGCAAGATAGAAGTTTGCGTGAACAGAGTTTTCGTTGCTAAAACGATTCTGATGTTGCGATGAACTTTTGCCCCAAACGATGTGGCATTAAAACCAAATAATTCGAACGTAACGGGGCTTAGCATACATAATGGCGAAAATTTAAAATGCGTACGGATTTGTTTGAGCGTCAACCGGAAACAAACGAACAAAATGAGGAGCGTGACGAAGAAAAGCCGTCCGGAAAAAAGGAGAAGAAACACACTGAATGAAGGACAAGGGAAGAGAGAGGGTGAGAGAAAGATAGAGCTCATACATTAAAATGTACGAAAAATTGTTTTTCCCCGTCATTTTCAACAAAGTTTGCCTATAATTCACTCCTTTATTACGTTCATTTATCTGTGCGCTTCGTTCACTTTATCGCCTATAAATCCACTCCACTTACTCATTGTGAACTCAACTTTGGCACCAAAAATTTTTCGATGTATTCAGACGAACTAATTATTGTTATTGAAGAGCATCATATGAAACGTAATGGAGCATAATCGCCGAAATTTCAAAGTGAGCAAAGAAAGCGACCGAAGAAGAAGGCAAAAAAATGGCGGCGCTCACAACGAATTCATGGGATTATTTGTTGGGCAAACGTGCCGCTGTGTATGTAACGAGATTAAAGGGCAAAGTTTACTTTAATGGCATCTCACTTGATACGTGAATTATTGAGTTTTCATAGTCATATGTACGCCATGATAGATGGAACACTACGAAGAGCTAAGCGCAGACTGAATATCACTTTTATTTACACCATACCCTTGTTTGGGGCAGGATTCTTAAAATTCATTTTGTGCATGGACTAACAATAAATACGATCACTCCACTGAATTGTGACAACTTTCGTTGCGCTCGAATACTTTTTTCGAATTACGTTTATCCAACGATGGTGCACCTGGGACGGGGTGTTCAATGAGCTCCTGATATTCATATCTCTCCCGCTTTCTCTCTCTTCAATTTTTTCTTTCTCGGGCTGAAACAAAAGACTTTTTTATGTCAAACCAAAGGAATTTAATACATTTTCGAATTTTGCTCTCTGGTCATGAATTTAATTTATTCATACAGCGGCTTGCATCGATGTGCCCGATGGGAAATAGTGCACCGTTCAATTACGAGCACGTGAACATAAATTTTAACACAGTGACACCAATGACTCGAGTATTTGTTTTTTAATTTATGACTCTACCAACCATGAAAAATGATCTCTGTCCTCGCAAAGATTTATGATGGATGTTACGTTTTTACATTGTCAACAGCGTCCGCACTTTGCATATATATTTTTATTTCATTATGCATCTGCCCACGAAATCATTTTGATTTCAATACTAATTCTTTTTTTCCGATTCTATTTGCAGGTTTCATAGCATAATTGATGAGCTGTAGCAGGTATGTTTTCATCGACTTCAAATTTCATGTAAAAATTTATACCATTTTATGCACGTACAGTCTGTCTAGTTTTAGACGATAAGGGATATCTAAGTGAAAACACAAGAATTTTTCAAATTTCTCTTTCGAGATATTTTTATTGAGCCTTCAGCTCGGTCGCAAACAATTCAATAGTTAATCCATTCGCCTTGTTTTTCGATAACACGGGCACAGCTTGAAGGCATACTTTTGCTCAAATTTTCAGCATATTCTCGCGAAAGGCTGTCCCACTGGCGCTTCAAGAACAAAGTGAGATGTTTTGTGCTTCGAATATGTTTGCTTTTGAGTCTCTGCTTCATGATGGACCAAACGTTTTCAATCGGATTGCAGTCTGGAGATTGAGCCGGCCAATCCATCTGTTGAATCCCATTTTCCTCTTTCCAAGCAGTACATAAACGACTTTTGTGTTTTGGGTCGTTGTCTTCTTGTAGAATCCATTTCGACGTATCGTTGCCATAGAACTTCTTGGCGGTGGGGAGCAATGTCGATTTGTACAACTGGCGCATTCGATACTTCTCTAGGATACCAGTAAACACGGTTAATTTACCAAAACCGGCTTCACAGAAGGCTCCATACACATGCACCTTTTGCGGATGCTTAACCGTGCGAACCACCGTTCTTTTTTCGCGTGTGCACCAAGTATGGGTGAGGGAATTCGACAACCAAAAGGATGATTCATCTGTGTATATAACTTTGCTCCAATCAGTGTCCAAATTTTCGGTTGCCCATTGTAGTCGTTTTTCGATATGTTCTGGTTTCAAAAGAGGTTTTTTCATTGTGGAGCGATACTTTAACGACATTTTACCTAATCTCTTTCGCAGTGTCTCTCTTGAAACGTTGATATTTGATTGACGTAGTCGTTGTACCCCCTGACGCAACGACAAACCTGGGTTTTGATCGAAAACCTTAGCAATACGCTGATCTTGCTTCGGCGTGGATGCTCGGTTGGGCTTAATGTTTGGCTGGTCGTTCACATTTTTTTCACGTTTATATTGATCTACCCAACGCTGGACGAATGGCACCGTCTTTTTAATGTATCGGGCGGTCGCTGTAAGCGATAATTTTGGCCCGCGTGGATGCAAATGCAGGAAAACTGCTTCAAAACGTTTGGTATAGTATTCCGAATTCATGTTTTCAATTAAAATAAGAGCACCAATGTGACTTTACATCTGTCAAATGCAGTTTGCGACCGAGGTTAGAGTCGCATCTGACCACACCAAAAAGCCTATTTAAATATATTCAAATTTGAACATCGTTTTCCCTTATCGTCTATAACTAGACAGACTGTATGTTAAACACACGCAATGCCCAGTATAAATTGACCAAATGCAACAATGTAAAGTCGGATAATTATATTTATCGGATCGAATTCAATTAATACGCATACCACACAATACATGAGTACTTCAACGCCACAGAAACCAAAATCAATACAATACAGTTATGTTCGTTCTACATTGAAACATATTCAGCAGAGATCGATGTGATTAATGGAAATTTATTATCTTTCACTCGACGAAGATACCTTGTTTTTTTTCTTTCGAAAACAAATCGATCGATTCATTGCACGCCAAGAAGTTAAAGCTGCATTTCAGCAACGATCTTCAATCGAATGCGAATGCGAAATGGGTGCACGAAAGATTAGTAAGATAAAGAAAAAGTTCAACACATTGTGAACGTATGTTTGCATTGCATTTGAGTTTGCTGCAGCTTTTTTTCTCTGCCGTTCTCTCACTCATTTTCACTCTATCTATGCTACTCGTCGCTTTGAGGGGTAACGTTGCAATAAAAGTTGGCAAGGAAATGATTCTAATCGAATGGAATTAGTTGAACAATCCTCCAGCAGCAGAACATCGGCATGCAACCAAATGTAGAGACGAAATGTTTTGTTAAATTGGGTAAAACTATTTCAGAGGTGTTTCAAAGTTGTTGCTTTTTTTATCTTGCTGTCGATTCCCGTTGCCATTTCAAAACATTACCAATCGATTTGTTCGCTTTATATGCAATTTAATACAGAGTTAACAAATCGTTCGCATGTTGGTTTCAATTATGGTTTTTCACGTGTTTTTCAAGTTCGTGGCGTCGATTGGAAACAAAGAAGTTCATCGATTGTAACTGATTTTAGTCAGGTTTTGCAGAGTGCACGACTAACGTGTCTTTCTCAAGATGTCAAATGTTGACAATAACGTGAATAAGCGGATCAAGTTTTCGATATTATTTCGTTTGTTTGTTTGTTTTTTTTTTGCCCTGAAACAATTTTCACACAAACCGGATAATTTCACGACTTGTGTGATTCTAATGTGTATGTATTTGTGTTCGCCTCAGATATTTGGCCAAATTTGAGAAGAATCACTTCCAGACTGTCAGTCAAACTTATTTGATAGTGTGGTGTTGCACAAACATAGCTCCGTTTCAGCCACTGTAGCACAATTTGAATGTTTTAAGCATTCTTTTTTCTCCACAATCTAAACACACAACTTTTCCAAATATGCAAACATACATTATACTGTTTGTAAACAAATTGCAACATTCATTGTTTTCTCTCCCTCTCTCCGGTTTTGATAGTGTCGGATGCTGTGGCGCTTGATTCCTTGAAATTTGGGGATATGTGTAAAATAGGAAAATAAACTCAATTTTCGTAACATTTTGCTTGTATTATTGCCCGGATGTTTTTGTTCGTGCATCGTGTGCAGGAGTAACCAAAGCATGACTTGTATCCCAAACTATGTACGCTTCGATTGCATTCGGTAGCGTTGAGTAAAATATTGTAAATTGAAAAACTTTGCTTGATTTTCTGCACAAGTTTTATGTGCTTTTTTTTCTTCGGGAAAACACTACCCAATTGTACGCTATTAATTCAGGATTCTTGTGGTGTTGCTATTCAGACCGAATTTATTTACCGAAATAAATATATTCAAATCAGTGTTTTTGCCTCGGGAGATTTTCGATTGTTCGAAAATCCATTTTCGTGTGTTTTTTTCTCGCCACATATTTCGCTCTAGGGGCTTTCCATCAAAAATCAATGAAAGACTTTGGGGGAGGAGTGCAATTCATTCAAATCCATCGGTTAAGATTGTAGGCCGTTGATGAACTGATACATATCAGCAATAGTCGAAATATCAATCAAAATTCATTTACATGCGACAAAGGGTTATCGGAATCTCTCTCAAATATAAACAAGTGTCACAATATATCTCCATAAATATCGTTGCAATTTAAATACGAAAAATGGAAGCGCACGCCTGAGAGACAACGCGAATCGGTGAAGCACGATTTTAAAGCGACATTTTTTTGTTCCGCTTTTTTCGTTGCGTCAAAAATAACGAAATTCGACAGTTACATGAATATTTTATCTCTGATTTTCGCAAGCAGCTCATATCATGATATGAGGAGTGTGTGTGCAGTACGCACATTTCTGCCATGGCAACCTGAATGACGGGTGGAAATAAATACAACAAACAAATAATAAACATCTGACTTGGGTTTCGTTTTGTTATTTGTTGCGTTGTTCACATGCCAATTCCATAAAACTGACAATGACATGTACGAACGTTCCACCCGATTAAGAGATAGAACATAATCATGCGACAGAAAAACTGAACCCAACATTCTAGACCATAGCCTCACGATGAATCCGATTCACGCTACAGAGAGAATGATATTGTTCATGTTACCATAGAAAAACGGATTTATTGGATTTATCTGTTTGATAGTTTTGTACACAAGTTATTTGATTATAATGCAACAGAAAATATGATTTGCATCGTCAATTGCAGAGCATCAAGTGCGATCCATTGTAACCACAAAGCATTTGATATCCGAATGACAACACTTTAGATTTCGCTCAGTCAAAGTAAGTTATTTACATTCAAAATATTGAATATTGTGACATCGAAACATTCTCTGTTTCATTTGAAACGGTTTTATTTCTCGGTGACATAGATTTTAACCATCATTGAAAAGTGAAAAATACACATAATTTGAAGTCATATTTGAACCGACCAGACCATAGACTGTATAACGATCAACCGGCAATTTTGACAGATATTGAATCCAAATTTCGATACAAATCGCCCAATTGACGCGCAATTCAATAAACACTCTTCCACCTTTTACTTGGTGCATTCAATATCTGGTCCTGCCTTTAGCTGTGTACAACACAATCAGCACTTTGTCAGCTGAAACGATGATCCATTGACCTAAACTTTATAGTCATAAATCGCTCACAACTCTATCAAATTTAATTTTTCTGAGAATAAAGTCTCGTGTGCTAGGATGTCCAAGCAGTATATTTTGCATGACATACTTGATATAGTCAGAAATGCATCGTGGTATTTTATTTGCAGAGCTACAGTCAAATGTGATACATTTTCTTGTTGAAGAACTTCAATGCGATTTTGGTTTATGTTATGCAACGTATCGGTCAAGAGCATTTACTGACCAAAACCATGTTGTTTTACAAGAATGCCAAAATTCTTATTTAGATTCCCTTGTCAGTTCAATGATTTTACCTGTCCAGGAAAGACTGTTTGATGTAAATGTCGAAAAATTGCTTGGAACTACTCACTTCAATCTACGGGCTATTAAATTTCAAGTGTGTAAACTTTCATTGCATCCATCGCCGTTGGACGTAATTTCGAAGTGAATTGCAAGTTTTTGAGCTTGATTCCGAGCGAAGGGAATTCTTTGTACTGCAGTGATGGAATAGAAACGAATTTTTGAAGTACGGAAAGGTACAACTTGATATTTCGTTAGGAGATAAATGTGCTGTTTCCACAACACTATACATTTCCCATGGTTACTTCAATTTACTACATTACATAGACCAATCAAAGTAACAACAATCTCAACAACCATTCCAACGGGATACTTTGAATGTGAAAACCAAGGAAAGATGCCACAGAAAATGGCAGAACCCGTCAATGAACTCATCTTGTGAAAACTAACTCAATGAACGCGAA